TACATACAGTATATATATATAATTTATATATACATACATACTTTATTCGAAATTCCAATAATCAGCTAGTTAGTTAATCAGCTAAACTTTAAACCTTTTCTGTGATATTACACCAGACCCAATTATTAGTGAATTCAACTTCCATGAGACTAAGACTGGTATAACATCACACTATTTTTCAAGACGGTAAAACGTCTAACGTCACAATTTAAAATAACGACATCGATATTCACACTATATATTTTGAAAAATAAGATGATTCGATTTTCGATACAAAGTTTTAGTTTTTATTAATAAAACATTTAATATTTTCTTTATTTTTTAAATTACCAACGCGAGAAATTGAAATATATGCAATTAATTATTAAAATAACTTTTAATAATAAATAATTATTATTAAAATAAATAATTTCAGAACAAATCAATGCAAACTGTAAGAATTTAATCCATTAGTTTTAAAATAAGTATATTATAATATCTAGAATAGTATTTTATTATTTTGTTGAAAGTAATGTGTGGCCGCTCTAGTTTAATAGAGTTTACAAAATTATGAAAACTTTGACGATTAAAAAACAAATATATTGGTGATTATTTGAAATGTGAATATATCGTAAAACCTTATATATATTATGGACAGATGGAATCTGTAATATTATTGAACTGCAAAGAATTAATCATGATTGGGAATTAATCGCTGGTATTAAATAAAGATTAAGGACTTATTACGCCATAAAAAGCCAAAATATCAATTACTATAACTGTTATGCTTATGGAATATACGGTTACGGACTAAGCGATCAAGAAAATTCTAAATGTATTCCAAAGTTTTTACGATATATACTACATTGTTTTAAATGAAAAAAAAACTCCGAACCAATAAACACAAATTTTTAAATTGTACGATCGCTGATTTACGAAGTAGTGTAAACAAATAATAAGGAGATAATTTATATATGTATTTTAATATAAATTAATTGCCTTTATATACATAAACAGAATACATAAACAGTTTATGTATATATTTCTTAGTTCTTATCTTTAAACGATAGATAAGAACAATACGCAGTACATAATGTGTGACATAAGTTTGCATAAAGTCCGAGATCAGAAAAAGAAGATAGTCTTTTGCAATCATTATTAGACTTCTTCTTTTCTCTTTGAAACGTGAGTTAATATCTAAAGTACTTTCACTCAATAGTGTCTGAAGTATAGTTTAAAGCCCAGCATATCTTCTTGACGGAATATATATCGTATTTGATTTGAGAGAGTGTGTTTCTGAATTAAGGTGTGTATCCACAAGATCGAAGATCTTCTTCTGCATAACACATATAATACAAGATAATATAAAACTAAAAACTAACAACCTTTGGACGTTAAACTTTAAAAAATACAGTGTTTTTACGAAACTGATCTAGTGATAATGATCTGAGCTAATAAATATGTTATATTATAACAGCATTAAAATTAAAAGCTTCAGCTTTTTAATATACAAACTTTTTAAAATTTTTTTTTTAATTTATATAATCCTTTTGCTCTAATATAAAAGTAAAAAAATTTCGAAAAGGTAGCAACTTTATATAGAAAAGTATTATATAAATAAAAATAAATATAAAAACTACATAAATAAATTTTGTTTTAAAAGTTTACAAAAATAGACTTCAAATAAGAAATAGCAAATGATTTTTATTGGTCTGGCAATGCTAGGAAAAATTTCAAACAAACTTCAATTCAAGTTATCTTTTAAATTTATTATTTTTATAATCAAAACATTTTACCAGAGAAGTTAGTTTCTCTAAATAAACTGAAATAAATTGAAATAAATTTTTCAGTTAAAAATTGAAAACTTCATTACAGTTTTTAATTTAAGCAATTAAACTAAATCCGCAAAATGGCTGACAAAAATAAAATGAATGCTGCTCAACGCAAAGCCAAGGCAGAGGCAGATAAACAGGTGCTCGCCCACGTTAAAACTTTGGATGATCTTAAAATGTGTTGCAAAATCGCTGATAATGAGAGGAAATTCTATTTGGGAAAATTACTTCAAATAGATAAACTTTGTAAGGATCATCCAAATGATCATCCAGTAATTCCTCGTGTCATGCATTCAGCAACTAAGGGTTTGTCATATTCTAAAGATAAAAACTGTGAAACTGAACCAGGTTCATCTGATCAACATTAGAAGCACTTTCATATTTTAAAGGTAAATAATTAAGTTTCTGATATACCAAGATATGAAATTTTTAGATTAATGTCTTTATCATAGTTCCTGTTTTCTCTTTGTGATTTATTCTCTAATTCAAAAAATAAACTTTACTTTGTGGACAAAAACGAAAACTACGGAACACTTCGGAGAAAATGATTGGAGGTAAGATAAAATATTATATAAAAATCAGAAACTATATAGGTATCGTTTTAGGGGCTGCAATATGAAAACTAATAAGGGTCTGGAACGTTGAAAACATTTACTCATTTATTTAATTATTCTTGTTGCATTTTAACCTGTTAAGATGTGATCGAATAAATGAAATAATTTAACTTAATTAACTGAAGCGTTTAAATATTTTTAAATTGAAACAAAAATATATTTATGAATATATTAAAAATATATTAAACTAGGTTAATAGACGTATTATAATGATAAATGATGATACTATGTCACCTCAACACAATGGTGTAACTAGAATATACCAATGGAGGGGATATACCAAAAATATTTTTTTGCTGTTTATATATTGTACATTATTATGTATTCATATATTACATTTATGTACATACAGTATATATATATAATTTATATATACATACATACTTTATTCGAAATTCCAATAATCAGCTAGTTAGTTAATCAGCTAAACTTTAAACCTTTTCTGTGATATTACACCAGACCCAATTATTAGTGAATTCAACTTCCATGAGACTAAGACTGGTATAACATCACACTATTTTTCAAGACGGTAAAACGTCTAACGTCACAATTTAAAATAACGACATCGATATTCACACTATATATTTTGAAAAATAAGATGATTCGATTTTCGATACAAAGTTTTAGTTTTTATTAATAAAACATTTGATATTTTCTTTATTTTTTAAATTACCAACGCGAGAAATTGAAATATATGCAATTAATTATTAAAATAACTTTTAATAATAAATAATTATTATTAAAATAAATAATTTCAGAACAAATCAATGCAAACTGTAAGAATTTAATCCATTAGTTTTAAAATAAGTATATTATAATATCTAGAATAGTATTTTATTATTTTGTTGAAAGTAATGTGTGGCCGCTCTAGTTTAATAGAGTTTACAAAATTATGAAAACTTTGACGATTAAAAAACAAATATATTGGTGATTATTTGAAATGTGAATATATCGTAAAACCTTATATATATTATGGACAGATGGAATCTGTAATATTATTGAACTGCAAAGAATTAATCATGATTGGGAATTAATCGCTGGTATTAAATAAAGATTAAGGACTTATTACGCCATAAAAAGCCAAAATATCAATTACTATAACTGTTATGCTTATGGAATATACGGTTACGGACTAAGCGATCAAGAAAATTCTAAATGTATTCCAAAGTTTTTACGATATATACTACATTGTTTTAAATGAAAAAAAAACTCCGAACCAATAAACACAAATTTTTAAATTGTACGATCGCTGATTTACGAAGTAGTGTAAACAAATAATAAGGAGATAATTTATATATGTATTTTAATATAAATTAATTGCCTTTATATACATAAACAGAATACATAAACAGTTTATGTATATATTTCTTAGTTCTTATCTTTAAACGATAGATAAGAACAATACGCAGTACATAATGTGTGACATAAGTTTGCATAAAGTCCGAGATCAGAAAAAGAAGATAGTCTTTTGCAATCATTATTAGACTTCTTCTTTTCTCTTTGAAACGTGAGTTAATATCTAAAGTACTTTCACTCAATAGTGTCTGAAGTATAGTTTAAAGCCCAGCATATCTTCTTGACGGAATATATATCGTATTTGATTTGAGAGAGTGTGTTTCTGAATTAAGGTGTGTATCCACAAGATCGAAGATCTTCTTCTGCATAACACATATAATACAAGATAATATAAAACTAAAAACTAACAACCTTTGGACGTTAAACTTTAAAAAATACAGTGTTTTTACGAAACTGATCTAGTGATAATGATCTGAGCTAATAAATATGTTATATTATAACAGCATTAAAATTAAAAGCTTCAGCTTTTTAATATACAAACTTTTTAAAATTTTTTTTTTAATTTATATAATCCTTTTGCTCTAATATAAAAGTAAAAAAATTTCGAAAAGGTAGCAACTTTATATAGAAAAGTATTATATAAATAAAAATAAATATAAAAACTACATAAATAAATTTTGTTTTAAAAGTTTACAAAAATAGACTTCAAATAAGAAATAGCAAATGATTTTTATTGGTCTGGCAATGCTAGGAAAAATTTCAAACAAACTTCAATTCAAGTTATCTTTTAAATTTATTATTTTTATAATCAAAACATTTTACCAGAGAAGTTAGTTTCTCTAAATAAACTGAAATAAATTGAAATAAATTTTTCAGTTAAAAATTGAAAACTTCATTACAGTTTTTAATTTAAGCAATTAAACTAAATCCGCAAAATGGCTGACAAAAATAAAATGAATGCTGCTCAACGCAAAGCCAAGGCAGAGGCAGATAAACAGGTGCTCGCCCACGTTAAAACTTTGGATGATCTTAAAATGTGTTGCAAAATCGCTGATAATGAGAGGAAATTCTATTTGGGAAAATTACTTCAAATAGATAAACTTTGTAAGGATCATCCAAATGATCATCCAGTAATTCCTCGTGTCATGCATTCAGCAACTAAGGGTTTGTCATATTCTAAAGATAAAAACTGTGAAACTGAACCAGGTTCATCTGATCAACATTAGAAGCACTTTCATATTTTAAAGGTAAATAATTAAGTTTCTGATATACCAAGATATGAAATTTTTAGATTAATGTCTTTATCATAGTTCCTGTTTTCTCTTTGTGATTTATTCTCTAATTCAAAAAATAAACTTTACTTTGTGGACAAAAACGAAAACTACGGAACACTTCGGAGAAAATGATTGGAGGTAAGATAAAATATTATATAAAAATCAGAAACTATATAGGTATCGTTTTAGGGGCTGCAATATGAAAACTAATAAGGGTCTGGAACGTTGAAAACATTTACTCATTTATTTAATTATTCTTGTTGCATTTTAACCTGTTAAGATGTGATCGAATAAATGAAATAATTTAACTTAATTAACTGAAGCGTTTAAATATTTTTAAATTGAAACAAAAATATATTTATGAATATATTAAAAATATATTAAACTAGGTTAATAGACGTATTATAATGATAAATGATGATACTATGTCACCTCAACACAATGGTGTAACTAGAATATACCAATGGAGGGGATATACCAAAAATATTTTTTTGCTGTTTATATATTGTACATTATTATGTATTCATATATTACATTTATGTACATACAGTATATATATATAATTTATATATACATACATACTTTATTCGAAATTCCAATAATCAGCTAGTTAGTTAATCAGCTAAACTTTAAACCTTTTCTGTGATATTACACCAGACCCAATTATTAGTGAATTCAACTTCCATGAGACTAAGACTGGTATAACATCACACTATTTTTCAAGACGGTAAAACGTCTAACGTCACAATTTAAAATAACGACATCGATATTCACACTATATATTTTGAAAAATAAGATGATTCGATTTTCGATACAAAGTTTTAGTTTTTATTAATAAAACATTTAATATTTTCTTTATTTTTTAAATTACCAACGCGAGAAATTGAAATATATGCAATTAATTATTAAAATAACTTTTAATAATAAATAATTATTATTAAAATAAATAATTTCAGAACAAATCAATGCAAACTGTAAGAATTTAATCCATTAGTTTTAAAATAAGTATATTATAATATCTAGAATAGTATTTTATTATTTTGTTGAAAGTAATGTGTGGCCGCTCTAGTTTAATAGAGTTTACAAAATTATGAAAACTTTGACGATTAAAAAACAAATATATTGGTGATTATTTGAAATGTGAATATATCGTAAAACCTTATATATATTATGGACAGATGGAATCTGTAATATTATTGAACTGCAAAGAATTAATCATGATTGGGAATTAATCGCTGGTATTAAATAAAGATTAAGGACTTATTACGCCATAAAAAGCCAAAATATCAATTACTATAACTGTTATGCTTATGGAATATACGGTTACGGACTAAGCGATCAAGAAAATTCTAAATGTATTCCAAAGTTTTTACGATATATACTACATTGTTTTAAATGAAAAAAAAACTCCGAACCAATAAACACAAATTTTTAAATTGTACGATCGCTGATTTACGAAGTAGTGTAAACAAATAATAAGGAGATAATTTATATATGTATTTTAATATAAATTAATTGCCTTTATATACATAAACAGAATACATAAACAGTTTATGTATATATTTCTTAGTTCTTATCTTTAAACGATAGATAAGAACAATACGCAGTACATAATGTGTGACATAAGTTTGCATAAAGTCCGAGATCAGAAAAAGAAGATAGTCTTTTGCAATCATTATTAGACTTCTTCTTTTCTCTTTGAAACGTGAGTTAATATCTAAAGTACTTTCACTCAATAGTGTCTGAAGTATAGTTTAAAGCCCAGCATATCTTCTTGACGGAATATATATCGTATTTGATTTGAGAGAGTGTGTTTCTGAATTAAGGTGTGTATCCACAAGATCGAAGATCTTCTTCTGCATAACACATATAATACAAGATAATATAAAACTAAAAACTAACAACCTTTGGACGTTAAACTTTAAAAAATACAGTGTTTTTACGAAACTGATCTAGTGATAATGATCTGAGCTAATAAATATGTTATATTATAACAGCATTAAAATTAAAAGCTTCAGCTTTTTAATATACAAACTTTTTAAAATTTTTTTTTTAATTTATATAATCCTTTTGCTCTAATATAAAAGTAAAAAAATTTCGAAAAGGTAGCAACTTTATATAGAAAAGTATTATATAAATAAAAATAAATATAAAAACTACATAAATAAATTTTGTTTTAAAAGTTTACAAAAATAGACTTCAAATAAGAAATAGCAAATGATTTTTATTGGTCTGGCAATGCTAGGAAAAATTTCAAACAAACTTCAATTCAAGTTATCTTTTAAATTTATTATTTTTATAATCAAAACATTTTACCAGAGAAGTTAGTTTCTCTAAATAAACTGAAATAAATTGAAATAAATTTTTCAGTTTAAAAATTGAAAACTTCATTACAGTTTTTAATTTAAGCAATTAAACTAAATCCGCAAAATGGCTGACAAAAATAAAATGAACGCTGCTCAGCGCAAAGCCAAAGCAGAGGCAGATAAACAGGTGCTCGCCCACGCTAAAACTTTGGATGATCTTAAAATGTGTTGCAAAATCGCTGATAATGAGAGGAAATTCTATTTGGGAAAATTACTTCAAATAGATAAACTTTGTAAGGCTCATCCAAATGATCATCCAGTAATTCCTCACGTCATGCGTTCAGCAACTAAGGGTTTGTCATATTCTAAAGATAAAGACGGTGGAACTGAACCAGGTTCATCTGATCAACATTAGAAGCACTTTTATATTTTAAAGGTAAATTATTAAGTAAATTATTAATATACCAAGATATGAAATTGTTAGATTAATGTCTTCATCATAGCTCCTGTTTTTTTTTGTGATATATTCTCTTCGACCACTTTGAGAAAATGATTAGAGGTAAGATGAAACATTATTTAAATATCTGAAATTGTATAGGTAACGTTTTAGGGGCTGCAATATGTGAACTATAAAAATGTCGGGAACGTTGAAAACATTTACTCATTTATTTAATTATTCTTGTTGCATTATAACCTGTTAAAATGTAATGGAATAAATAAAAATATTTAACTGAAGCTTTTAATTATTAAAAAAAAAAATTAGGTTAATAGACGTATTATAATGATGGCATTGTCACTTTAACACAATGGCGTAGCTAGAATTGTGTCAGATGTTATACTAGATAATATTTTTTAGCATATTATCTGTGGCGTGTATTATCGAATATAAAGGAGGATATATTCCCAAATTCCTGGATACACCTTTGTCTTAAGAAAAGTACACTATGATTAGATCACACGTTAGTGTTATTTGTATAAAAAATATTTTTTAGTATATTATCTGTAGAGTGTATTATCAAATATAAAAGAGGATATTATTCCCTATTCCCAGGATTATTCCCTATTCCCAGGATTATTCCCTAATTCCAGGATACTCCCTTGTCTTAAGAAAATTACACTATGAATAGATCATACGTTCGTGTTATTTGTATGCTGAAAAGGCCGACTACTTTATCACTGCAAAAGTGTACTATAAAAATTAAAGACCATTTTTAAACCATTTCATAGTGGAAAATATCATTTACGAATTCCTAAAACACGGTTTAATATGACGAAATAGGTATGTAATAAGTTATTATAATAAGCTTACTTTGGAATGGACAAAGTTTATATGTTAAATGCCCATGAGATAAGGACAGATGAGGTATAATAATGAAAAAACAATATCATTACTAGGATTATTAATTCCAAACTGAGTTCAAGATCTCTATTAAACTCATCCAACACAAGCGAGTGTTAGGTAGTGTTTTCATATATCAGCAAAATTTTATGATTAACTGGCCCAAACTCATTTTTCTATTTCTATGATAGTGAAAATTGGTTCCATGTTACATGTAGTATATACGGCTGTTTTAGTGCTAATGATTGATCCCCATATGTGTGAGACATATCGCCAAGATACATTTTGTACTTTCTAGATTAGCGTATCTTTTGTTAACAATCTTTACACTAATTTAAAATTTATTTAAATAAATTTATTTTATTATTTTAATGTATAATATTTATTAAAATATAAAATAGTTTTATAGTGAAGAGGTTTCTTCAATAGGATAACGCAAAGACGATACTGTAAGGCACAAAACCCTGAAGTTTGGTACCAATACAAAAAAGAAACCTATGTGTGATAAATGTGATATCATTATGTAAAATAAATTGGTTAAAATCGAAAAATTTCGAAAGATTAATACAATACAAAAATGCTGGTTGTAAACGATATGTTCGTTGAAATTCGATTTGATTAAAGATGAATAGTAGCAGTTTTTTTTTAAATTGCTTTCAGTTATAGAAACATTTTCATTTGAATAATTTTTTTTTATAAACATATTCTACTGTAGTTTTACATAATTTTGTAAAATTTAGATATTCACACTATATATTTTGAAAAATAACATCATGTAAATATATTAAAATATTTTTTAGATCACTATATAGGAAAGTGCTTATGAACGCTGCGAAATATTCAATGACGATAACTTCAGAGCGTCATTCCAAAATATTATAAGAGTCAGTAACAATAGTCAAATGTACATCCTCCTATCTTATCGGACACACATTCCTTTCTACAACCAAGGGCGTCACGATCAATAGTTTAGAGTTTATTTCTGGCTTATTTGTTCCGCAAGCTTACACCAATCCCACTCCTTTCAATTGTTGTAGATTTCATTTTAAACATATTCGCCTGTGCTTTTCTGGCTTCGATAAACATATTCGCCTGTACTATTCTGACTTCGATAAATTTAGCATGCTAAATATTAAGTCCATTTACTCTCCTTTTTGTCCTTCATTACTGGAATTGGCTTTCAGTCATTGAACTTTTGTGTGCTGCGATTGTAATCTTCCAGATATCCACCTCCACCATATTACTAAGAGATGGTCTAGTTTTCAACCTACAGCAAAAAAAAAGTTCTGTATGCGGCTTAACAGCTCTAAGCTTAGTACAGAGTTATAGCTGGTTTTTCTCAAAGGAATTTAGCATGAAATGATAAATAAAGACAAACGTAGAATATTTAAGATGAGCTAAGTAGGCTACTCGCATACTATAAAAATTGAATTCAACAACTTGTAACGAATAAACCTGCTTATTTCTGACATTATCCTTAATAACAAATCCACAAGACATAATGTTCATCATTTACTGAATTGTTGTATAGCAAATATCAATTTGGACACAAATAATTTCTGGTTTTGTGCAAGGGTCCTTAACTCAAACTTAGGTTTGCAATTGGTTTGAAAAAGGGACTTCCCCTAAAATGGATTCATACTTAAAATAAAAATTCGACTTATAGAACGCACTTTCCCATATTCCTATTAGCAGGTAACAATATTTTTATTTGAGTTATAGAGAAATGCGAGTGATAGTTATGAAAGCAGAATTATATGTAATTTGCTCCCTAAAACCCTATTGCACTCTTTTTAGTTCGAGTTATAGAAAATTCGAGTTATAGAAGTTCGAGTTATGGAAATTTGACTGTATATATTTTTCGTTTGTCAGGATTTTTTAAAGAAACTCTCTTATAGATAGACATAACGTCTGGATAGCGGTTACATTAAATGTTTATTATCTAGATTATTGCCCAGAAAGAGAGCAACAGCTGCGTCAAGCCATAACTTGATGACAGGTAGCCAAATAAATAAGTCAATTGACCAGAGTAAGAAGAAAATGTTGCTCATCGGTTTTATCCCTGCCAAGCAGTGTTGCTCACTAGCAGGTGTCAACACAGTCATTATTGTATATCTCTATCTAAAATTTCTTTAAACAGCTAACGTACTTTAAAACTTTCCTGTGATATTAAAACGGATCCACTTATTAGTGAGTCCAAATTCCATGAGTTGAGACTGGCATCTATCACTCTATTTTTCAAGGACGTTAAAACGTCCTTTTTGTTCTTAAAAAAATATATTATGATTGGATTTTCGCTATAAATTCTTAATTTCTGTTAATAAAATATTTGATATTTTTATTTATTTTTAAAAATTAACAATATGAGAGATTGAAATATATGCAATTTTATAATCAATATCGACAATGAATTTATTTGCAAAATAACTAATTTAATAATAAATCGATGCAAATTCCGAGATGTAGATCCATTATTTAATCCCTTAGTTTTAACATAAGTATAAGATTATATCTTAAAAATCATTTAAA